CGCTTCGCTAACAAACTCGTGCTCCCGCAGTAGCTCAAAACCCCCAAATGCTCCAGCTCCAGCAACAAAGAATAATTAATCAAAGAAATGCTTTGCTCCAGCACCAGATGTACGGCGGCATACCAATGAATATGCAGGGGATGAATATGCATAACATGACAGCAGCTCAGTTCCAAGCCATGAGGCAAAACGCGAGTCATATGCAGCGAGTCGCTATGCCCCAGCATATGCAGCAGGCGCATCTCAGTCAACAGGCACAACACCAGAACCCTCAACATGCTGTAAATCATATCCCACCCTTTCCGCGTTAGAAGCTCTCTTGTTCCACCTCCGATTCTGACTTTGTTCTCTGCAGCACCTGCTCGCGCAGCAATTGGCATTACATCAACAACAGGCCGCCCAGCAACATGCCAACAACCCGATGCCTCAAGTTAGCCAGCCTGGTCATCCCGGACAGATGACTCCCCAGCAACTCCATATGCAGCAGGCCCAGCTAGCCCAGCCGATGGGGCAGCAAGTCCCACAGGGCCCTCAAGGCCAAGGTCATCAACCTCAGCCTCAACCACAAGGACAGCCGCAGCAGCAAGGGCAACAACCTCAACCGCAGCAACAACCAGGGCAGCAGCAAGCTGGCCCACAGCCGGGCCAGCAACCTCCACCAAATTCCCAAGGTCCCCAGAGAGCTCCGACGCCGGCGGTTACGCAACCGAATCAACCACAAAGCCAAGGGCCGAATTCTACGCAAGGAAACCACCAGCAGCAGCAGCAGCAGCAGCAGCAACCGCAGGGTCAGGGTCAGCCGCCGAATGGCCAGCAAACCCAACCTCAGCAACCTAACTCGCAGCCGTTACAAGCGGGCCAACACATCCAACTCCCGGCCGGTATGCAGCAGCAGTTCCTGCATCAGCAACAGCACAAGAACGACGGCATGAAAGGCCACTGCCTATTAAAATTGCTCCAATTCGGCGAGCACCTCAGCGGGTATCAAGTTAGTACCCTGTACCAATCCCTAAGGAAAATAATTGCTAATGCAGCGCACTCTACAGGGCTCAAGGACGAAGGATGATTTATCATATTGGAATAGTTTTGTAGCGCAGTTCTTTTCGCCGAGGGGCGTCTTCAGGCTCTCTCTGTTCGACGTCGGCATCGAAATGGCGAACACGGAGCATGGGGACAAGCAATACGAAATAACGCAACCGGCGCTGGCCCGATACTTCCACACGCACTTCGAAAGCGGCATTAGGAGGATCAACCTAACCTTCGAAAAGGGAATTACTGACAGACCGTTGCCGAACGGGTGCCACTTCATCGAGAATCAGAAGGCGAACCTAACCTACTGGTTCGACAACTCTCACGTAAGTTGCACGAATCGTGGCGTCATTCATGGGCCAGGTAGCAGAGAAGGTCTAACAGCTGCGTGATTAGGTCGTCGCGACGGGAACACTCCGAGCGCAGTTCGACAGCGAACAGAAGTTGGAACTCTTGGAATTTATCACTCAAGGTCACGAAGAATATCACTCGAGGAAGATGGTCATCGAGGCGGCAAAGCCAGCACACAACTGGGTCAAAGAATGGCTTAGGGTGAATGGGCAAGATACACGATTATCTCCGGAGATGAGTAAAAAGGGGAAGAAACCGATGAAATCGCCTCAAGCCCCGCCTCCTGATATCGACCTGCCCCAGTCGGCCGTGAAACAAAATTCGGGTATTACGGAAGCTGTTTTCCAATTTCTCGAAGTACGATCCAATTTCTCCTCCCCCCCCGCCCGACCATATATAGTTATGCTAACTTGACATCCTAGATTATCGAAGTTGTCGGACAAATGAATGTGAGTTGCATGGCTCTCGAGAGATGCTATACGTCCCCGGGAATTTCGGAACCTAGATCTCATTACTAACTGAAGAATTTATTTAGCCGCTGTTCAACTTCTATCACACGCACCCCGGCCTGTCGCCTTACGCCGCGCTGGAGCAATATGTCAGCCAGCACATCCAAAATGCTCCGCAGCAAGCAGTAATAAACGGCCAACCCCAAGGCAACGGACCGCCTAACCCGCGGACGCCTAGTTTTCCCCAGTTCCCGATAGGCGCTTCGCCGGCGGCGACTCATCTACAGCTTCCGAACTCGCCTCATATGGGCAGCCCCGCGCAAGGACACATGCAAGCACCAGGAATGCAATTACAGCAGAGTCAGCAAGGGACGAACTCTAGCGGGCCCAGCGCTAACACAAGCCCAGCAAGCAACAAGCGGAGGAGGCCGTCCACCGTCAAGACCGAGGAGGAAAGCGGCGCTCCCACACCTTCGAGCATGGGTGGCCAAGTAAACGGTGTCGGAATGGCTAACAAGAAGCCTCAGACGACTCCTCGATTACAGAAACGCGTGAAGGGCAATCCGGCGTGATAATCGTCCTACCCTTTTGAGCGGACGACGCATTTCGAGAAGGGAGGCAAAAGTAGGAAAGAAAGAAAGAAAAAGGGGGAAACCTAGCATACCGGCGTCACCTCTGGATACGGAATTCTGTACTGTTGTTCGGTCTTGGCTCGGCTGTTTTATACGCACTATTACATCGGCTGGACGTTCAGGACTTGCATTTTTTGGGGGGGTCCGGGAGGCTCGGAGGTTCTCAGCGATTCCCATCCACGATTGACGTTTTATTTGGCAGCGCCGGACTAATTATTTGATATCTCTACCTAAATCGTCCGTTGTCGATGGAAAGCAAAGAAAAATTGGCGTTGGTCTACGGTTGTTCTATTTAATTCGAGCCTATACCGGAGGAGAGGGATTATAAGCGGCGGGTGTTTATTGCGTTGAAGGAATTTTTACTAATTCCGGTGATTACGGGCAGAGTTTTCCAAGTATTGGTCTCGTGTACGATATTCCTATTGCTCCCCCGCGCATTACGCTCGACGTGTAGGTTGCTATCCTTGGTCGTTGTTTTTTTATCTTGTCATTTGAACCCAAAAAATTATCAGGCTGCAAGAGGTAGAAGCAGAGAGGAGGGCACAAGTAGAACAACGCAAGCCGAGGCTTATGGTCTTTGGAGACGGACAAGAAAGACGATTACAAAAAACTTGCGAAAGTACATGTGACATCAAGTATACACTTTGTGCAATAGTAAATTTCTAATAGCTGCAGACGTTGAGAAACAGGGCAAAGATACTGCATACCTAGTAAGTACCTAGGTTGCGTCGCGTTGCCAAACTACCCCTTTGCAGTCTCGGCATGTAGACGTGCGTCTAGAGAAGCTTAATACTTATGTCGTAATCAGTTTTTGATACATTTCCCTATAGAGTAGGGGCTTAGAAAATTCACATACGTTGTGCGATTCCATGAAGGGGCTTAAACAGCTAACATCCAGTAGTCCTTGTAATGAGGCAACCAATGATTTATTTGCCTCGGAAGCATTGTATTTCAATCTAGACGTCGAATTTGAAACAGGATTGTCTGCTTAAGACATTTAGAAGATTGGCGGATGGGATTCGCTGTACTCTAGAGTACCTAGTAGGTAACGATAGGAGAATGGGGACGCTTCTTCATTGTGTAGGTACTTAATAGGTATGCTACCTACCTAGGTATATTTGGTAAATAAATTAATGCTGTATGTAACCGTTCTAAGATTATGGATAGCATTATTTAGCATTTCTTCTTTCTGTGAAGGCTAGGGTTAACTCAATCTCCCAGCAATGATTATCATAATGTGAAGCTTAACCGGAAGCTTAGTTGAATAGCATGACTATCTCTTCCATTCTTTCTCAAGAAGCAAAACCCCTTGAGCCTGGCTATAATTAACTGACTGAAAGATACTTAGTAGAAGAAAACCACCTAGATATCAAAAACACAGTGATGTAACTGGTGATGAAATACTATTAACAATTTCCTCCATCTCGAAGCCAGGGGCTGAAACCATGGACTCCTAAGTATTAGGTAGTCTACCGCCAGCCCTTCTTTCCAATCTTGCGTCATCTAGTAATTGCGGATGTAGGTTAGGTAGATTACCGAAAGAATTAGTATAAATTAAATAATTTGTTATTATCAAGTACCTATGTCCGTGCAGCTACTCGCCCATCGTCGTCACAAGTGGCATAGTAAGTAATATTTAAGTAGGTTAAGTGAAGGAGGATATAAACTTTAGAAGATCTCAAAGTCTGAGGTCTATTACCATAGAAAATAATTCCGGCAGCACATATTCTCGACTGTATAGGTACTTTCATGGCTAGTGTTTATTAAATTTTACATTTTTTGGTCCCGAGAGCAAGCTAACAATAGGTAGGTACCTATTGAAATAGCATGATATCGTTCTTTACAAAGATTTACTACCTAGGGAAGATGTACATAATTAGGTACCTATAGAAAGGAGCAGTTTTAGGCAAGCCCCTATTTACACGAAACCTTGTACACGCCTGATATACACTATATTTCTGTAATCGTGTTAACACTTATTAGTGAGACATTTATACCTATATATGGTATATGAGGGTGACTTATTACTTTAGACGTCTATTTCTGTGCAAATTTACTTCTTACGACTTATTCCAATAAGAAAGGAGCAATATAAAGTTAGGTATATGAATTAGGAAGAATGTCCTTCTAATAGTGGTGGGATAAGGATGAGTTCTAGTATGTGAAATGCCCATATCACTAAGAAAACACTCACGTGCTCATGGCTCATGGAATAGGAGTACCGCAAGTCATACCGACAATAGATTCTCATGGCAGAATAAGAATTCTTTATGGAGATAAGATCTAAACAGTTTAGCTGAGTGTATATATACATTTCGGGTATATGGAATTTTATGATCTGATGGCATTATCATAAAAGTTTCAAATATCTAAGAGACTCACTCTACCTTGGCCGATCTTGACCACATACTCCGTTACGCATCACACGACAACGAGGTTTAGCATAGCAATGGGATAGTATTGCCAAACCCTAGGCATATTAGATACTAACAAGAAAAAAAAGTTTTCTACGCTTGTCTCCAGGACGGCGTCGGTTGAATGATGGGAGTGGGACTCGAACCCACGCGGATTGCTCCACTGCGGATTTTGCTGCCAGTATCTCAACACTGGACTCAACTTAAGCTGGACCTTAACGCAGCGCCATAACCACTCGGCCATCCCACCTAGCAAGACATCAATTTCCGAGATGATGGGAAAATCATCTAGCTGTTGCCTTGGCTGGTGGTTAGGGCTCCTAAGTCCTCCTAAGTAAGCGGAACGAATAGGTGGGATAGCACAAGGAACATGTGCGAATTGGCACTGTAGCTTTTTCTAACCCTCCATTACCTAATGGTTACTTGCTAGTAGTATACAGGTATAGTACGAGGGATCTAGTAGCGAGGCACTATTTTTCAGAGAGTTGGTAACCTAATTTCACATCTTGTTATTTTGAGAAAAAAGGGGGTTACATATCTTCTGCTTGTTAACCTTAGTATAATAATACTCCAGGGCTCCAACTACTCGTGAGCTTGTCAGAATGACTGCTATCATGAACTACAATCGTTTGCCTTACTCTTCGACCCAACTGCGCCGTGTCGATTGTATTGGCAGCACGTCAGCTAAGTAGCATCGTTTAACGGACAGTGTTTGGTCTGAGTCGAGATCTCACTTAATGTGACTCAACATTGCTGATCGGGTAACGATTTAGTAACAGGAGAATACCTGGCATGGCATATGTGCGACCCGTCTATGTACTTAGTTATGTACTGGATATGATCATGGGATCCGCCTTTTCCTAGCTATCTTCGGGGATAGGGTGCCTACGTAATAGTAGTTGCCAGTGCATAGCATTTAAATATAGTGGGTCTGCATTACATATGCAGTATCGTATGAATCATCTCGCAAGCTGAAGGATGGGATCAATCAAGCAAGCAAGCACGAACGAGCTGGGATGAATACGGCTTACGCACTCGTAGCAACTCGGCGAAAGCTTGAAGAGCGAGGACTGAAAAATGAGCCAAAACATGTCACGAGGGTCCGTGCATAGGATGACTCGGTGGACAAAAGCCACATTGGTTATTGGTGATATGAAATCAAAGACTAACGTCATCTATACCTTGAGGACCATGACGCGACTAGTCGGGGACGATGCCATTCTTATCAACCATCTGCCATGGCTATGCCCGCCTTATCCGTAATTCGTTGCCACTAATGATCACATCGTTGTCGTCCAGCCCAGAATAAAACCATAACGCCGTTTGGGAGTTGAAATTGAGAAAAGGCCCAGGGCCTTAGGCAGTCTCGCCGAACGTGTTCTCGCCCGAGTAGGTGATGTAAAGGAATCTATAGGCAGCGATGGTTAGCTAATGCCGGCTCGGAGCAGCCAGAAGGCAACCGTGTGCCACTCACCCATCTTCATCCTTGTGCTCTTCGTAGATGCTGCTCATGAGAGCGGCGGTAGGAGGGAGGACTTCATCGACGAAGATGAAAATGGCCTTTTCGGGAGACAACTTGATGCGCTTTCGGATCACGTAGACGAACTGGCCTACGGTAAGATCTGCGGGCACCAGATATTTCTTCTTGTCGATGGTCGCGATATCGGATTTCTCGACCTTCTCGCAGATGACCTATTTGCAGAGTTGCATGTTAGAATCCGGGTGCATTTGAAGAAGTAAAAAGAGCAAACAAAGCGGTGAGATGATGGAAACGACGAGTGTGAAAACGAAGCTTGTGATAGGAGCGGTATCGTCCGCGAAGACTTCATATTCATTTGGTAATTGCAGTAGGAGTCGAAATTCGATAGGAACAGATTATGACGACGAAAAATACATACCGGAATGCGGTCGGCATACTTCTGACGGATGCGCTCGGCTTCTGCCTTGCGCTTCTCGAAGGGGTGCTCGTCCTTAAACTTGGATCGCATCTTGACGGCGTCTATCTGGTTGTTGATGAAATGGGTCGAATGATACAAGGCACTAAGGTGAGGCTTCGTCGAAATAAATAGACAGTCGCGCTAGAGAGGATCAAGGAAAAGATGAAGAAAGTCGGGTGGTGGTTGTAGTTGATGATGATGACGATGAAAGTTGGTTGATTGAGGTTTAGGTTAAAGGTTGGAGGTTCATAGGTTTGTAGGTACGGCTTTGCTTTTACGTGGGGGGTGGAGGAGGGAGCAAGAGGAGCGACTTCCCACTGGAGACCCACAAAACAGCCAAGGCAACCTTTAGTGGCGCAGGTGATTTGGCTTTGATGACCAAATGCCATTTGCCATTCAATAGGTACGTACCGTACCGTACATGGTAGTACCTTAGGTACCTGTAAATTAGCGGTACCTAGGTAGGTAGAACATTGAAACTCAAGTGACCGACCGAGCTGCTGATTATTACAGTCACCGATAACATTGGAGCTAACTTAAAGCACTTAGGATAGATACCTAGGTACCTAGTATATCCAACGTACATAGTGATACGCATAGCTGGGTGCCTACATAACTAGAAGTTAGGTCTTAGGTCTTTATCATCATATGGTAGTGCGTCTGGTGTAGATGCTCAGCTTTGTATCGCACAATACGGCATCTATTCATTACCTACCTACCCATAAGGTGCCTACTGTAGTATCCATAACATTTGATATGGGGACCTGCCATAGCTACATACTGCCGATTATATTGAATTTACGAGGCAGGTAGTGAGCATACATAGAGGTAGGTAGGTAGGTACATGCCTATGTATATTAATCTACTTACGTACCTGGATACCTAGGCATGTACCTTCTCCTGTAGATGAGCGGGACAAGGCGGGGCACTACTAGGTATCAATGGCCGGTGAGTGACTGCATCTGAAAGGAACGTGACCGAGCCGAAAAGGGACTAGATCAATTTATTTTAAAGGATAACCCTTTTCTTCCCAGGTATCTCATTATTAGCCACTTTGATCACAACATCTCGTCATTTGGTCAATGGGTACATGTACCTTATCTTACCCATCCGGTACCGTACCTAGTGACTACAAACACATCGATATGACTGACGTCAAAAAGAAAGAGAAGCGAATTGATACGGATGACTACTAAATACTTCGCCCCTAACGTAAAGTATGGACATACAGCAAAATTTCGGAATTTTAGAATAATGCAATGGTTGCTTATTAGTTAATTTGGTTGTCTAAGCTAGGTATGTCGCAGCATGGAGGAAAGGTTGAATAACTGTGCAGATACTTAGGTACTACTAGGTAGGTATGTATAATCTTCGTTCACAAGGGTCTACCAAGTCAAAAGACTGGGAGTTCGTGATCAACTCGGGCCTAGTAATAATCAAGAAGACGTCCTGTCATGAAGTTCCTTTGTGCTCGGATATTCACAACTGCATACCTAATGGGTGAGTTTCTAGGTTGGTTGGCCGCTATCCTGTCAGCCACTAGATGGATCTTTGAAGCTATCATCGATATGGAACGAGGAAATTGGTGTGGCTTGAAAAGATACGAATGGGTCACTTTATTGCTACATGACTTACTGTTTCTATCCACTACGAAACAATGCTATACTGCTTTTCTCTTCTCTTTTTCTTTCCCTTTCACCGAATCACGTCACCCTCCTTGTCAATCCCTTCTCCCATCTCCAAGATGTCGCTCCCAGCTAGGACACCGCTGCCAAACGTAGTCGCCTTGCGACCGGCTGCCCAGACCTCGTGGAATTTGACGCTCTCATCGCTACTCGCTACGATGATACAACCTTCCTCGGCCGTGCGACTCCTCAATCTCTCCTTGGTGCGATATGTATCACTCGGCCCTCCCGGGTACGCGATAGCATACAGCGCGCGATGTTCGCCCTCCTACGGTACGGCAGCGACCTGCCGGCAATCAGGCCAGCTGAACACGGCGATGCGGTATGGGTGATCAGGCTGCGCGTATCCGAACGTCGCCGCGATCTCTCGGCGGGTCGTGCTCCATATGAGAGATGTTACCTGCGCGGCCACCGAGATAGTGGCCAGTGCGGCGCCTGAATTCGTGTGATAGAAATGGATGCATTTATCGTTGGATCCCCCGCCGGTGGCTATCAATCCCTGATGCCACGGACAGAACGCAATGGCTTTGACCGCCGCCCCGTGACGCCATCGATGCTTCTCCGAACCGGCTGGTAAATATTTCATGGCTGACAGCGGGCTAGGACAGTCAAAGACGATTTCCGGAGACGAAGCTGAAGCGCCGTCTCCCGCATTCACGTTATACGGCGAGGGTGCCTCTTTTTCGCCACAGGGAAGATTCACCGTTGGTGCCTTTGGGAAGCTTAGACTTAGGCCAGACTCCGTATCGATAATGCCGTCTACGTGGAAGAGACAGCAGAGATTGTCGTTGCCTCCGGTGGCGAACTGTTCGCCGTCGAGAGACCATGCGAGGCCGCATATCTGCTGAGAATGGACTTTGATGCGAGCAAGCAAAGTTATGGCGCCGCGCCAATTCTCCCGGGCCACCTCCTAGGGCTCGGGCCATTCAACCGAATAATAGTAGATATCGCCCATGTCATCACCCACAAGGAGGTCTTCCGTCTTGACCAAGACACCGGGATTGCGTTTGCTCAGTGATGGTCGTGGCGTGGCCGCGGGTCGCCAGGCCAGGCAAGCTATCGGTTCGGGGTGATATGCTTCGAAGCGGGGAAGCAGACTATCGAAGAGCGACACCAAGGAGAGAAGCCCGCTGGATCGACCGAAGGCAAGTATCGACTTACCTCCCTGTTCGGACGAGAACGCCACCGAAGTCAGCCACGATCCATCCTTGAGCCCCGCATTCAGAAGTGTGACACCCGAGGATTCCGACCACCCGTAGAGTAAATTGCCCAACCCCACGGCCAAAGTATTACACGTTCGAGAATAAGCCATGATCGAGCAATAGAAGTCGTCTCGAAGACCTGGGGCATCTAGAACTCTAACGGTAGTCAATATCTCAGAGTTGGCTAGACGAGGAATTCACGTACTTGAAAGGTGCGTTGGGAAGACATCGTTCTTCCTTGCGTATTTCTGAAGTAGCGTTAGCCTCAACGAGGGACTGAAATGCGAGAGACAACGTCATACTTGGTATATGACAATCGTTGCTCCACTCGCTTCCCGTCCATATCGTCTTGGTTTCCCGAAGGGACGGTCTCTTCTTGTGTTTGCAACTAGGGAAAGTGGAATAACCGTCAAAATCTAGCATTCG